GATTTGCTTTAGCAGCAAATGCAAGGCTCCTCAGAGCTGTTTGCTCTGCACAAACGAGCTCTGTTGTAATTAATCTGAGTTCAATCCTTATTTTTGCACAATGGAATGGGATGCAGGCACTCATCAACTTGGGTCATAGCTAGGGGTTCCTGCCAGCTGGGGGAACTTCCCAGGAATTCTCCAGGTGGCTCAGAACGAAGCAGTGACAGTTCCTGGTGTGATATTGCTGATTGAGGAGGAGGGGAGGGAGGAAGGATGTGCAGCACCCCAGGCAGAGCAGTGACTGGTCCCCGTGGATTATCCCACACTTTCAGCAGCACAGGCCCACGTTCTGGCAGTCCCACACGTGCCCTGGTCCCAGCCTGTGGTCACTGCACCCTGCCTCGCCCTGAACGGGTTCCTCACCCCGTGAGTGTCCCGTGTTCCACGTGGGGACACAGCTCTGTCACCCCCCGAGCTGTGTGAGGATAATGAGTGTCCCTGGGCAAAGGCAAAACAAAACACAGGCACACAACACTTGCTCTGCTTTCTTGGGAGATGTGACAGAAGAAAACAAGCTCCCAGTCCCCCTGTCATTTTGCATCTTTATGCAACCATAAAAAGCCATTTTTCCTTGCATTGTTTACTGGTTTGCTACTGAAGCCTTCTCAGATTTTATTCCAACATGAATATTAATTCAAGTATCATTTATATTGTGAACAAAACGAGAAAAATATCTCAAGGCTGTTACGAATCCTAGTTTTCCTGGCAGAACAGTCTGGCCCTTTTAAGAATAAACACCCAGCTATTATTCCAATATTAACTGGTGCTTTACAAAATCAATACAAAAGCACAGTCCTTGCATGAAAGGATTTCCACTGGACTCAGCTCTGCCTCTGCTCCCAGCTGGATGACACAACAAAGTGGTTAAGCAGCCCTTGGCACTGCGGGCTCGTGTCCAGCCTGGAGAGCCCCAGGATGGCCAGAGCCTCGAGCCTCACGAGGAAACACTGCCTGGACAAAGGCTGTGCCCAGAACCACGTGTGACATCGTGTGGCACTGCTGGCTCTGCTGAGCTGCCCACATGAGCCATTTAAATGCTCAAAGCCTCTCCCAGAACAAGTGGCAAAAACAGACTTCCAAGACCTTCAGGAGTACAGAATTTTACCTCTGAAAAGGAACCCATTTCTGCCATAATACACCACCTTCTGCCTTGTCCAGGTCTGGCCTAGTGGTCAGAGCCCATGAAAGTGAACACTGCCAGAGAAAAGGGACTCTAAGAGAAGAAATGGTTTCTGTTTTCTTCCAGACACACAGAATTATTTTGCAATCCCTGTCAAGCTTGTGTGGCACAAGCAGAGCTTTACAAACCCCGAGGGAAGCGTGGTTCAGGTAGGTCCTCCCTCTGTTTGTTCCCCAGGTCTGGTTTTGTCCAAAACGTGTCCTGGTCTATGGGTATGAACTCCTCATGGGTATGAACTCCCCAGGGATATGAACTCCCCATGGATATGAACTCCCCAGGGATATGAACTCCTCAGGGATATGAACTCCTCAGGGATATGAACTCCCCATGAGCATGAACTCCCCATGGGTATGAACTCCCCAGGGATATGAACATGGGTATGAACTCCCCAGGGAAGCAGAAGGAGATGCAGTGTTTGGAACAGGGCTACAACACCCAGGCCATGAGGACTTGAGGAGCAGCTGCTACCCAGGGACACCCCACGATTCCCCCACCAGTGCCAGCAGGCCCAGGGGCACCCACATGTGTCCCAGATGCTGCAGGGGCCCTAAGAAAATCAACATTTCTGTCTAAAACATCCTCAGCTTCAGCTACTGAGGGTTTTTGCTATTGCATGGAACTGTAAAAAACATCTTGGTTCTCCTGCAAAGATTTTTACTTGGCCATGGGAAAGTTAACCACTGGCAAATGGAAAGACATTGGAATTAGTTGCTGTGAGCATTCTCATGGCTGTAATCGTCCCTGTCTGCCTGTAAGGAGCAAAGAACAGTATTTGAAAGCACACAGACCAAACCAATAATCCCTCACAAATATAACCACCACAAAGTACTGTCTCTCCCAAGCTATAAACAAGGATTAGGAGAGTTTGTCTTGCTTTGAATGAAGGATCTGGGCCAAGATCCAATGTCAAAAAATAGCACTGAGAGTGGAGAAACCTAGCATGTGGATAAAGATGATTTCTAATATTTATTAAGCTTATATTTCAAAAACATCCAAAAACCTCCAGCCTCCTGAACCCGTGCTCCTCTGATGCTTTCACTGGCTGCTCTGGCTTTTGCAGCAGGGAGTTGTTTACATCCCTTTTGTCCCCCTGTCTTCTCCCCTAATTGTTGCCTTTTCAATCTGTTGTCTGGGGGCTCACTTCAGGACTCGAGGGCTTTTAACAAGAATTACCAGAGCTTGTTGCCATTTACTGTGTTTACAGATAGAGAAAGAGTGAAAAGGGGAATGGCAATTTCTCCCTGCATAACACTCACCCAAGAGAAAAGGGTCGAGAAAAGGTCAAGAAGGAAACTGCTAAAGCACTGAATACCCCAAACACAGCCTAATGTTCCCTAAAATGATGCTTGGCCGAGCACTGCGGTCAAGGGAAGAAACAGAAACAGTTTCTAAAAGGCAACTCTGAGGAAAGGCAGGAACAGCTTCGGTGGGCTTGGGCTGTCCTGGAGAGGAACCCAGGGGAACAGCAGGACCAGGCTGCTGGCAGTGCCATCAGCATCCCCAGCATCCCCAGCTCAGCTGTGCCTGTGGTGGAGAGCAAACCTGCCTCAGCCAAATTGTCCTTGTGTCACTGCCTGTGTGATCAGAAAGAACGAGAAGTAGCTCAAGTGAAGCTCAAATTCCATCAGCTGTTGTCAGCATCTCACCATCAGCACACTGAAGAAATCAGGTCCTGGGTATCCCCTTTTCCATTATACATTAATTACTTATTATTTCTACTGGTGTTGGTTGCCTGGAAAAACCCACAAAGGCAAAATCAGCACTACAAATTCTCTTCCAGCACCCTGAGTTTTGCTTTTGGCTGCAGGTGCCTCTCTCCCCAGGGCACTCAGGTTTTTGATGCCTCACGCAGTGAATGTACACAAGAAATGAGTGAACCCCAGCAGGAGAGAAGTCCCTGTGCACCTTGTGCAGTGAGGTACAGCTGCAAAAGGCCCTTAGTTCATTTTGCTGATTATAGAGTTGTTTATATCCCTTTTCAGTAAAGCTTAAACCCCAAGCAGGCTGGAGTGGCTCACCATTAAGATTCCTCATAAATCATATTCAGCCAGTCCAGAAGCAGGAGCTGCAGTGGATGAACTGAGCTCTAGAGCAGAATTGCTTTAAAGCCTCACAGAATGAAAGTAGAGTAGGATGATTTCCCAAAAACCTGAAAAAACACTGCAGGCTCCCTGGAGGGAGCAGGCATGTGGGTCAGAGCATGCTCCTGGTGCTCAGGCTGGGGACCCACAGCTCCTGCTGGGTGCTGATCCTCATCCTCTGCTGGCAGCTGCCCCAGATTATCTGCACCAGACCTGGGCTGGCTCATGGCTGGGCCAAGGAACAAGATCTTTTATTTTCCTCTCTTTATCTGGCAATACAAGGGAGCCTGAGAACATCCTCACTGCTTGGAAGCAGTTTTGGAGCTCGGCTGTCAGATCCTCCCATCCCTCCAGGAAGCACTGTGAGCCCTTGGAGAGGTGCTGGCAGAGATTTCCCTTTCTCCCAAGTGAGCCCACGTGCTCAGGAGCACCAGGACCTTCAGGAATTCCTCAGGTGACCCTCAGTGGCTGGGTTGTTCAGCCAAGAAAAACAAACCAGAGATGTTTGTGGCAGAGATCAGCCTGCCCTCTGGAGAATCACCTCCTGGAAGGGGCCGTGGGTTGGTGCCATGCCCAGGGAAGCAGCTGCCCGTGCCCTGTGTGATTCCCCAGCCGAGCACGGGGCATCCCTGCTGGGCCTGGAGTGAGGAACCTTCAGAGAGCCTTTCCTCAGCACACCTGGGAGCAGGGGACACTCCCTCACACCTGGGCACCAGTGGTCTCCAGCAGGATCCACGTTCACTGTGCAGCTCTGGGATTTCTTTGTGTGGAAATTCTCCCTGCTGTGCCACTGCTCAGCCCCTGGCACAGGACAAGTGCCGAGCTCTGATGGCACCTGTAAAGAGAGGCTGAAACACGGCTCTTGGCACCCGGCCACTCTGCAGAGATACAGATCTGCCAAAGGCCCCGGAGGGCTGAAGCAGATCCTCTGAAGGCCACGGTGACAAAGCAGCCGCCCTGACTCAGCTGTGACCGGGTTGTGCAGTGTCCCCAGCCCCCGGAGCTGGGATGGCACAGCCGGGATGGCACAGCAGGGATGGCACAGCAGGGATGGCACAGCCAGGATGGCAGAGCCAGGATGGCACAGCAGGGATGGCACAGCAGGGATGGCACAGCAGGAATGGCACAGCCAGGATGGCAGAGCCAGGATGGCAGGGATGGCACAGCCAGGATGGCACAGCTGGGATGGCACAGCAGGGATGGCACAGCAGGGATGGCACAGCAGGGATGGCACAGCAGGGATGGCAGAGCAGGGATGGCACAGCTGGTATGGCACAGCAGGGATGGCACAGCTGGGATGGCACAGCTGGGATGGCACAGCCGGGATGGCACAGCAGGGATGGCACAGCAGGGATGGCACAGCCAGGATGGCACAGCCGGGATGGCAGAGCAGGGATGGCACAGCAGGGATGGCAGAGCAGGGATGGCACTGCCAGGATGGCACAGCAGGGATGGCACAGCCAGGGCAGCGCCGTGCAGCAGCTTCCTCTGGCAGCACAGGGACAGGAGGCGGATTTTACACACGGAGAAAAGGAGGAGGCTGGAGTCAGCTGAATGTTAACATGCCAGCTCTCCTTCTGTTCCTGTTGGAGCACGCCTGAGCCTGGATTGCCAGGGGATAATGTCACACTGGCAATTGTTTTGTCACTATGGCCATATTGTGTGAACGGCAGCGACAGAGCACAGCAGGCCTGGGGTGCCAGGGCAGGAGCACCCCTGGCACCTGGGAACCTGCTGAGCCTCAGGACAGGACCACAGTGTCCCCACCAGAGGCCAGGACAGCTGCCCCTGCACACCCTGGAGGATCCATCCCTTCCTGAGCAGAAGCTGGGACGTTCAGGTGCCCCAGCATCTCCTGGCAGAACCAGCAGCAAAGCCCAGTCCTGGTCTCTGGTAGAACCCCCGGGACAGCCGGGCTCTGCCCAGAGCCTGGGGCAGGCTCAAAGCCAGGGCTGCTCTCCCCTGGGCTGCTGAACTGGCTGTTACAGAAACCTTTCCTTGTCCCCAGGATGGACATGTGCTCTGTGGGGCTCTGGTGCCCTGATAAAATGCTTCCAGGTTGGAAGGCTGTGTGAGCAGCGCCAAGGAAATGGCAAGGCGTTCCAGATAATTATGCTTTAGTAGAGCTTAATCAAAGAAGCCGTGGACTCTGCTAGCACCAGAGGCGTCCTGCAGATGTATTGATTTCCACTCTGAAAGCCATATCTGTGTGCTGGAGCATGTAGAGAAACAAAAAGGCAGGATTGTGAATCCTGGCTGGAAGACAGTTGGGATAAGCTTGATAAATCAATGTACAAATGGGCTGTTTTATTTTTCAGGAGAAAAAAGTAAGGAATAGCTCTTACTCTCCCACCACCTGAGCTTCTGTCCCTTGGAGTAAACACAGGTTTTTGTTTGAAGAATATTTCTCTGGTTGGTAACTAGAGATGTTCTCTGTGACAAGGGAGGCTGAAATACTTCATCCTCTGAAGCTCAGGTGCTTCAGCAATCCCTGAATATTCCTCACAGCCAGAGCTGGGAGTGACCAACACTGGCCAGGACATGTCTGCATTTCTCATTTGGCTCAAGCTGTGATTCAGGGTACAACTGCCCAGACCCTGCAGCATATCCCCTTTTCTGTCTAACTGCATTTGCTGCAGGCTGTAGGGAATTACCTGATTTACAGTGCAGGGGTGTGAGCTCATGGACCTGTAACAGCCCCATGACAGGATATTCCTGGGACCAGCCCTGGGCTGGAAGGATTTGTCAAAGTGCTGCATCCAAAGCAGGAGCTTGCAGCTCTTCTGGCTCAAAACGGGGACTGGAGCTGCCACAGGACCCCGGGAGCCAGGAACTGCTGAAGCACAGTCCTCCAAAACTGCTTCTGCATTCCAGCACCAGGATTCCCAAATCTCCAGTGGGCTGAGAAAAATCTGTTTCTTTCCTCATCCATAATTAAGGAGCAACCAGCTCCCCTTGCTCAGGAGACTGGCCAGGATGCTCTGAAGCTGGGCATTTTCAGTGTACTTGTTCTTATTTTTATTGCAGTTCAAAATACCAGCTTCCAAAGGGGAATGCTGTTCATGTGTGCCGCAAGCTGGAGCTTACAACATCATGGCTATTTTTAAAAAAGAAATAGGAAAAATACAGATAGATCCCACTTAAATAGTTTTGTTGGTTTCTTGATTTGTCCCCAGCAGAGCTGGGGCCATGTGCAGACACCTGGGCAGGGGCTGAGGGACTGGAGCTGGCTCTGGGCACTGTGAGCACCAAGCAGCCCCTGCTCTGGGGACCTCAGAGCAGCACCAGCACAGGCACTGCAGATCCTTCACTCCTGCCTCAAAAGGCTGATTTATTACAGAGGAAACACTTGTGGGAATACAGCTCTTTCAACTACATTTTCAACTGGAACTGTTTTCCAGCTGCTGGATGAAAGTATTGGTCAGACTGAGGAGACTCAGAGCAGCCAGCACCGTGCCCAGGGGCAGGAGCACAGGCCTCCCACCACGGGCTCAAGCACCTTCTCCACCGAGAAATAAACCCAGCTCAGCCTGTCCCTCCTCCCCTTTCCAAACTCTGCAAAGCCTTTGGGTTTGCACCAAAGGAAAGCAATGAAACCTCGGTCTCCAGCAGGCAGCCCAGCAGTTTCCCACCTCTCCAAATCCAGTCTGAACAGACATGCACACGCTCAGGGGTCCATAACCTTCACTGCCAAAGGAAACATTTTCACGTCCATCCCTTTTCCTCGGCAAGTGGCGGCTCCCAAAGGCTGCGGTGTCCCCAGCCCAGCTGTGCTGCGTGCCAGGAACAGCTGGCTGCCTCCAGCAGGCTCAAACATCTCCTTCCCAGACGGCAAAACACAGCAGAACCAATGTTTCATTAGAAGAAACAATTGATATTTAGGTATGTGGCACATCCATTAAGTGACTTGAAAGGTCACCCTTTAAAATGTCTGTGAACAACACGCAGAGGAAAGTCCCCACCTGGAATACCAATAGGGAGGAATTCCATCACCAGGAGCCTTTCATTTAAAAAGAACAAACAGAGAGCTTTGTGCTTCTCTTATCTCTAATCCTTACCTCTCTCTCCAGAGGTTTGCTCCAATTAGTTATTTCATATTAATGGTGGTTGGTGCTGCTCATTTCCCCCGTGTCCGTGGCAAGGACAGCCAGGAGCAGCGTGGCCAGCCCTGCCCTGGGCACAGGCACAGGCACAGCCTGGCTGCCCGGCACATCCAGGGCTGCTTTGGATTTTCCCAAACCTCCTGCACTCGGGGAGATCTATTTCTGTAATTGCAGGTGTAAATCTGCCCAGAGGCTGAGCCGTTTGGCCAAAATAGCTGGAGTCAGTGCAAATCTCCAGCATTTTTCAACTGGGGATTGTTTGATGCTGTAGCTTATGGGGATGGTTTTCTTATTTTAACATTTGATGGCTTATCACATGCTAAAGCCACGTGAGCTGTAGATCATCATTTTGTGTGTAGAGTGGGGAGGGACTGATGAACTTTCTAAAATTAAGAATAGCAGAGTAAAAGTGAGTAGGAAAAAAAATGAGTCCTTCATGTAATACAAGAATAAGGGACAAAGCAATAGATTACTCCAGCAGTTCCAAAACAAAAAGAAATAGATGTAATTGATTCTGGAGTTCATTGCCACATAATGCTTTAAAAAAACACCACATGTGAGTTTGCAGAAAACAAGCAGGAAAAGTCCTGGCCAGAACTGTGCTAATGGTTGCAGTGGTGCAGATGAGAGGTGTGGAAGTTGAATAAGAACCCCTTTACCCTCATTCTCTCCCTCTGGTGTGCCCTAATGCCCATTTCCCGAGTCAGCCACGGTGGGATGGACTCTGACCTCTCACAGCCCCTCTGCTCTGTGCCCTCTCCCACAGCCCTGTGGCTTTGCAGATTACTGGGTCCAGCTGGAACAGGGCTCCTGGAGCTGCTTCTCCTTCCTCCCAAGGTGCAGGTGATGTGTGCTGCCCAAGGAGAAGAACAGAAATCAGATTTTAGCAAAGCCCCCAGGCACAGGGCAGGGCTGGCCCAGCTGGATTTGGGCACTGGGTGCCTGTGCAAGCCCCCGTGGGGAAAGGGTCACCTTGCACCAGCAGCAGGGCTTTGTCTGACTCTCTGCTCAGGCCTGCAGGTTTTCCTTAGCATTTCTTAGTGATAAACAACCTCCTTTTGGTTTTGACCCCTCAACATTAATATAATTTAATTTTATTTCATTTCAGCTGGACCTCAAGTCCTTTGGCAAATAGAAAAGGCTCCAAACCAGAGATTTTGAGAGCCAGAGCACGTTTTTAGTGTCTGGGAATTGCTAGACCAGCAGTGAATGTCCAGGGCAATAAAATTTGTCCAACGCATAGTCTTTATCTCAGCCACTTGACCCTGCTGGCAGCGGTGCAGGCGAGGTGGCCGTGGCAGGGCAGGGCTGGGCAGAGCTCATGGGGGTCTGCAGGACACCCAGGTGGGTCTGCAGGACACCCAGGTGGGTCTGCAGGACACCCAGGTGGGTGTGCAGGACACCCAGGTGGGTCTGCAGGACACCCAGGTGGGTGTGCAGGACACCCAGGTGAGTGTGCAGGACACCCAGGTGGGTGTGCAGGACACCCAGGTGGGTGTGCAGGACACCCAGGTGGGTGTGCAGGACACCCAGGTCAATGTGCAGGACACCCAGGTCAATGTGCAGGACACCCAGGTGGGTGTGCAGGACACCCAGGTCAGTGTGCAGGACACCCAGGTGAGTGTACAGGATACCCAGGTGGGCCAGCCCCACCTCCTGCCTCCATCCATCCCCTGCCACTGCTTCTGACACAGGGACAGGCAGCACAGGCTGATAAAATGCAAATGAGGGGGCAGTAATTACCTGCAAATCCTCACCTCAGAGGCCTTTCCAGGAGTCCTGGACAGAAAACAAGACTGGTGGGAGTTCATCTCCCACCCTAAGCCCCCAGTGGTGACAGGGGATTCCCACGGGAATTCCAACCAGGATGGCAGTGAGAGGGAGGCTGTCCTCTCCCTCTGCTCCCCAGCAGCTCAGGGGCAGTTGGGTGAGAGGATTCCCTCAGTGGGCAGGAGAGAGTCAGAGGAAGTAAAGGTGTCCTTTGCTGCTCTTAAACTGGCCAGAGCTGGATGTTCAATCTTCCTCTGCTCTTACCTGAAAACTCCAAAACATTTCCCTGCCAGCTCCGCCTGAGCCAGGCTCAGCACACACTGCCAGGTGCTGGGACACGGATGGGATGGGATGGGATGGGATGGGATCCATGGGATGGGATCCATGGG